CATTAACCCACAGCGCCACACCAGGAATCCTCATCTGCATATTGCAGGTTGTTAATGAACCTTTCTCCAGTACTGATGCCATGTTTCTCTTCATATAACCCAGCTTCTCGGATTATGTGCTCATCATACAAAAGATGAATAAGTATGGTGAAAAAAATAGAGCTGTGGTGTACATCTTTCCTGATTTTAAACCATATGGTGTTCCCTTGATCTGTTTGAAACCATTTTAAACCATTTGGTGTTCCCTTGTTCTGTTCTGCCTCTTGGTCTATTTACAGGTTCCTCGTGAGCACAATTAAATGTTCAGGAATACTCATTCACCATAATGCTATCCATAGCTTGTTAATGATCCACACAGTACAAAGCCTTTGTGTAGTCAGTAAAGCACAGGTAAACATCTTTCTGATATTCTCTGCTTTCAGCCAAGATCCATCTGACGTCAGCAATGATATCCCTCATTTCACGTCTTCTTCTGAATCTAGCTTGAACCTCTGGAAGTTCTGTCATGTATGGCTGCAGCTGTTTCTGTAGTACCTTTAGTAAAACTTTACTCACATGGGATATCAATGATACTGTCAGATGATTTTCACGTTCCGTTTGGTAACCTCTCTTTGGAATGGGCACAGATACGGATCTCTTCCAGTCTTCCAAATTTTTAGCATAATGCCACCAATACCGCATCAGTTTACTGAACATTTTCAATTTGTATTCCATTTATTCCGATGCCTTATTCTTTGCCAATGCCTTCAATACACTTTGGACTTCTTCCTTAAAGATCATTGGCTCTTGATCATATACTACCTCTTGAAATGGCTGAACATCAATCTTTTTGACTGTGAGTATTCCTTCCATCTTCCTTTGATGCTTTCTTTATCATTCAGTGTTTTTCCTTCAATACTGCAAGTCGTGGCTTGATTTTTTTTTTTTTTTTCTCTTCCTGAGTTCGAGAAATGCTGAGCGTGTTCTTCCCTTCGGTTTTTCTAACTCTAGGTCTTTGCACATTTCATTATATTTGACTCTGTCTTCTCGAGCTGACCTTTGAAATTTTCTGTTCAGCTCTTAAATCTCTTCACTTCTTCCACTTCCTTTCGCATCTTTATGCTGGAGAGCAAGTTTCAGAGTCTTTTCTGACCTCTTTTTTGGTCTTTTCCTTCTTTCTTGTCTTCTTAGTGACCTCTTGCTATCTTGCTCTATGATGTTCTTGATGTTATCCCAAAACTCTTCTGGTCTTCATTCGTTAGTGTCTAGTGTATCACATCTGTTCTTTAGAACAGGAATGGACCATGCAATCTTAACCAGAGAAGCAGCGACACCAGAGATGGAGGCAGGGGTGATGTCATGGAGTGATAGAACAGCTAAGGACTCTAGCTCTAGACTCAGGGAAGGAGAAAGGCTGAGTGCTGGTGGGCAGGAGGCTGGTTTGCAAAATTTAAAATATAACTGTTGGTTGTTTTAATGATTGTATATATTCCTGCGTGGTTTTTGTGTTGATCAAGGGAGAAAAGGGAGGGACTAGAGGCAAATACTGTTGGTTGATGGTGAATGAAAGGGGTTGTAATCATTGCAACGAAGCAAAGTATGATTGGTTAAGTGCAAAACAGACTCTCTGCAATGTAAACTATCATTTAATTCATAATAAGAGCTTTAAAAAAATATTTGTGTTTTTGCCTATTGCCTAGCTTACCTGCACAATAATACATTCTCCACAATAAATTTATGCATACTTAAAAAAAAAACAAAACTGTTCTTCCAGTGATCTCTAAATTTAGGTGGGATCTATTCAAGTTCATATTTTGGTTCTTGTGGACTTGTTTTAGTTTTCTTGAGTTTCAGACTGTACTTGCATATGAGCAATTGATGATGTGTTCCAGAGTCTGCCCCTAGCCTTGTTTGAGGGTATGATATGGAGCTTCTCCACCATTTCTTTCCATAGATGTAGTCAGTTTGATTTCTGTGTGTTCCATCTGGTAAGGTCCATGTGTATAGTCGTCTCTTATGTTGTTTACAAATGGAATTTGCAATGAGGAAGTCATTGGTCTTGCAAAATTCTATCATGCCATCTCCAGTATTGTTTTTATCACCAAGGCCATATTTTCCAACTACTGATCCTTCCTCTTTGTTTCCAACCTTTGCATTCCAATCACCAGTAATGATCAATACATCTTGATTGCAAGTTTGATCAATTTCAGACTGAGGAAGTTGGGGGAGAATTCTTAAATTTTATCATGACTGGCTTTAGTGGTTGGTGTGCAAATTTGAATAATAGGGGTATTAACAGGTATTTCTTGTAGTTTATTGATAGTATCCTATCACAGACAGCATTGCACCTCATGACAGTTCTTGATATGTTCTTTTTAATGATGAATGCAACACCATTCCTCTTCGATTTGTCATTCCCGGCATAGTAAACCATGTGATTGTCAGATTCAAAATGACCAACACCAGTCCATTTTTGTTCACTAATGCCTAGGATATCCTTGCTTATGCGTTCCATTTCATGGGCAATTTCTAATTTTCCTAGATTCATATTTCATGCATTCCATGTTCCGATTGTTAATGGATATTTGCAGCTGTTTCTTTTCATTTTGAGTTGTGTCCCATCATCAAATGAAGGTCCCGAGGACTTTACTCCCAAAGGCTTTACTCCATTCACATCATCATGGTCAACTCTACACCAAGGAGGCAGCTCTTCTCCAGTTGCATTTTGTAATGCCTACCAACCTGAGGGGCTCATCTTCTGGCACTGTATCTGACAATATTCTAGTGCTCTTGATCAAGTTTCAGTATTCAATATTCTGGTGCTAGCAGTGTTACACTGCTATTCATAAGGTTTTCAGTGAGTAAATATTCAGAAGTACTCCATCTCTCCTTTTTCCTAGTCTGTCTTCATCTGGAAACTCAGCTGAAACCTGTCCACCTTGGGTGACCCTGCTGTTATTTAAAATACCCTTAGCATAGCTTCCAGAATCACAGCAACACATAAGCCATCACAGAATGACAAACTGATAGATGAGTGATGGTACTATGATCTTGGTAGCTTTAAAAATTTTTTACCAATATGATAGGTTAAAAATGTGACATCTTAACTGTTATTTTCATTTTCATTTCTTTCTGAAGGAGGTTGAGCATATACGAGGGGCCTTCAAAAAGTTCATGGAAAATGGAATAAAAAAATAATGGAATTTTCCCATAAACTTCTTAAAGCCCCTCCTGTAAAATGCTGTTTGGTGTAACTAATGACTCCACATTGGAGAATCATTTTTCAACGTTCTTTCTTTGAGCGTGTTGTTGAGACTGCCTTTGGAGGGTCTTTGCTTTTGGGCAGTTCTAATTTTGGTATTCATTCAGGTAATCAGACCCAGAATGTAAATAATAGTACAATCTGATGTTACTTAATTAAACATTTTAATATCATTAAGCTGTGATAAATTTTTACCACCTTTTATGCAAAATATCTAATTATCTATATTCATATACTTAATTTCTTTCCTGTGTTTGTGATGTTCTTTTTTATTTTCTGTTTTCTCTTTCCTACCCTAATTCTCCTTAGTACAAGATAAGGAAGCTGCTTCTCAAGAAGTTGTTTCTGAATGTGATAAAGATCATATAATGTCTTCTGTATCAGGTGTGGTTCTTTGTTTTGTGAGTCAGCATTGTTGACTAAGCATCAGGCGTCACCATGGCTGGCTCCATGAAATAAACAATACAACCGATTAAATGATCATTTAAGTGTTCTAACTTTCCATTTTTACTTCTTTTTCTTTGGTTATCATGTTTTAAATTCAAGCTTTGCTATCAAGTTCCCAGTACTCAATATGACAATATGACAATATGTTATATTTTGCATATTAAATTAAATTTAAAAAGTAATACTTCATTAAAAACAAAATGCAGGAAGTATAATTAAGAGCCCTAGGACAAAAAGCACAGAGTTAAGCCATCTACTGACCTTAGTAGCATTGTATTTCATTTTACTTTTGAATAGGAAGAAATTAAGTGACTTTTGTAAAATTTAGATGTTAAAACATTTTAAGTGCTAAGATTTAGCTGTGGTCTCTGAATGTAACAAAAAACCAACAACACTGAATTGTGAATTATATCTCAATAAATCTCTTAGTAAAAAGTGTTGAAAGTGAAATAAATTTAGTTTGGGGCTGATTTCTTAAATAAAGTAGATGACATGATTTAAAACATCTGAAAGAAAATAGGAAGTCATGCCATTTGCTTGATATACTTTAAATGCTTTATTGTTCTTATAAATTACTCCTACAGAAAAAGCAATACTCATATGCAATCTGAATTCAGTTATGACTTACTCTAGAGTAAATTGTCATTACAATGGAATTAGAATAGAATTTATTTTAATTTATTTAAACCTGTGAAGCTTCTACTTAGATTTTCTAGAACTACATTTTCAGTTTTTTGCTTCTAACTTATCCTTATAAAGTTAATGACCTAGATGCATGTACATGCAATGTATTCCTGGTTTTTCTTTTCTCAATTTTCAGAACATGAATTGATGAGTGTTCCTCAGCTGATGACTCCAGATGTATACCTAAACATCAAGTTTCCCACTGAAATATCAGAGAAACCTTCATCACCTTCCACTGAAGCCAATTTGGTTTGTATTTAATAGAGAAGTTCTAATTATATAAAGGAGTCTTGGTGAGGCGCTATCTGGTAAGCACTGGACTGCTAATTTCATGGTTAGCAGTTCAGACCCACTGTCTACTCTCAGAAACCCCATACAGGTTGCTATGAGTCAGAATCTACTAGTTGGCACACAACAACAACAGCAATCTGAAAAGACTTCAAAAAGTTTGTGGAAAAATTGAATTAAAAGATAATGTAATTTTTACATGAATTTTTTGAAGCCCCTCATACATTTCTGCCAATATTTTATGATCATCTGGACAGTACTCAGTTTTATAGATGAATTGAGACTAAAAATCTAATCTATATAGTTTGGTAGCTCAAAAACTTAAGAATTATGCCCCCGAATAATATCATCTGAGACTGTAACAGTTGTTCCTGGAGCTTTCCCTAAGTCAGACACTAGAATCCTGAGAATTAAACTTTTTATTTTCAGCAGAGTGAACACACAGAGTTAAAAGAATGTAACACTCTCTGATATTTTATGCTTTGGCTCAGGGTAAACACACTTACATAGATGTGATTGACATTGAAGCTGATGATCTGCAGGAATTACCTGTGAGAGAAGAGCCTCGGGATGATGTTCCCAAACAGCAAAGTGATCACCTAGCAGTCCCGTCTTCTGCCGAGTTACACAACACGGCAGCTTTGGTGGTTGATGCTGCTCCCCCACACAGCAGTAGGAGTCCAGGTAGTAGTTTCCTACTGGTTTAATAAATTGTTATCCCTACTCAGATCTTTTAGCTGTCCTCTAATAAAGCAATCCACTGTGCTTTTGGATGGTTTATATTCAAATTCAAAAACGTTCAGTGAATCTTTTGATAACTTTCTTTTGAAATTTAAAATCAACCTTTCTATTCCTTTCATATTCTTGATAGAATCTTCCAATCCTGATATGGATATATTTTTTAAACCTGTAAAAGTGTCTCCAACCAGTGTGACTGTAAGAAGCTGGAGAGCAGATATTGCAGAAATGAAGGAGCCTAGTGTCATCTCACCTGTACCACGAGGAGTACAGCAGTACAAAGGTGAGTGGCCAGGAGTCAGAGCAACTCGTCCTCCCCAAATTACACTGAAACATGAAATCAGAAAAAGACTTAATTACATTGCTTAGCTGTACCACATTTTATTTCTGTATTCACCTGTTGATGGCCACTTGGGTTATGTGTACCTTTTGGATACCGGACTTGGGGCAAGTGGGTAAGTGAGATAGATTTCTGTTTATAAAGCTGGAACCTGTGGATGGTTTCAAGAAGACTACGTAACTATTGATGCATATGTTTTCTCTTAATGGAAATGCAAGTATTCTGGGACCTTTGGATATTTTGCAAGAAGACTACAGATTTACTGATGAATATGTTGTTTTTTTTTCAGTGAATAGAAACTCAAATATTTGTGGGAGTTCATGAATGTTTGGAGTTAAAGAATTATATTGCAAAAGGTAGAGAATACCACATAGAAGTGGTGTGGCACTGTAGGATAAGCATTGGACTGCGAATCACAGGGCTGGTAGTTCAAACTCACCTGCTGTTCATTGGAAACTCTATACAAGGATCACCATAAGTCGGAACTGATTGACAGTACTAAAAACAACAGCACTTAGAATATACACAGACATAGACATAAACCCACATAAAGTAACAGCCAACATGGGGACGAGCTTTTAGTGTGTGAAATTGTTCTTAGAGTCCAAATTGTTTTAAAAAGTAATAAAAATATAAGGGTATCTTTTGATGAAGTATGTTTTTGTAGCAGGGGAAAAAGTAACATTCAGACTACTTGTATATGGTGCTAAGTTGTAATAACATTATGATGCAGTTTTATCTCACAACAAAGATAACTCAAAAATCAAGAGGCTGGGATACATTTTCTAAATATATTAAATCATTGAAAGAAAAGTTATGTTGGATTAAAATGAGATTTAAAAAATGGCATTATCAGTGTCTACTTGTTTCTTAATTATAATCCATTTTTATTTTATTTAGATTTAGATCTCCCAAAGCCCAAGTTCCAGTTCAAAGAACAGAGCACGAAGTCAGGAGCTGCAGAGGACTGCCTGCTGTGGAGGCTGCTGCAGGATGAGCCTGACGCTCCTGCCCCAAGTCCGACCACACGCAAACTAGAGCATCTCACGTCTAAGCTCCGGGAAATTGATGAACAGCTGTTGGCAATACAGAACATTGCTGACAACATAGAGCAGGATTTCTCTAAGCACAAAATGGTAGGCTTTCATTCTGCTAAGATAGGCCCTCTTTATTTGTAACTGAATGATCAGATTTATAGTGTGATACAACTTTATATTTTCAAAATAATGAGAAATTTGGTTTATTCAAGCACATTTCTCAGCCTCAGCATTATTGACATTTTGGACAGATAATTCTGTATTGTGGAGTGGTCCTGGGCATTGTAGGAAGTTTAGCAGCATCTGTAACTTTAGCCTACTAGATGCCAGGAGCACATCCAATCATAAAAAACAATGTGTCCTGGTGGGCAAAATCAGCCTAAGTTGAGAAATTCCACCTACAGCTTTTAAGAATTAAAGCCATACTTTTCTACCAAAAAAAAAAAATGTGAATTACAAAATCAGGATGTGTCTTTTAAAGAAACCTCACTTGTAACTGAGTATCATTTTATTCTGAAAGGTTTTTATAACTTTACAAATATTATTGTCATTAAATATGAAATTCTCAGTTTCTTATAAATGTCTTACATAAGGTTACTGGTAGTTACTTACAAGCTTTCTATATTTAAAATGTATTCATAATAAATTATTTTTTATAAACACCATCTTTTTTTTTAACTTTACCAAGAAAAATTCATATAATGAAAACTTTAGATTTTGCATCTCTATTCAAAATGTTACTATCTTATTATAATGCACACTTCAGTACAAAGATTTTGATTTGTTCATTTTCATTGAGAAAACAACTTGCAGGTCTGAAAGGAGACAGCAGAGGGATACTGTGGTTGAGCACTGACTAGGATCCTTAAAGACCTGGGTTCATATCTGTGTTCTGATACCATGAAAGTCATTGACTTTCTCTGGGTCTTGCTCTCTCATTTCTAAAAGAAAACATTTTGTGTGGTTTAGGTTCCTCCTCTTCCTAAAATTGTATGAAACTGTGTACCTGTCTCTTTTTGCCCCCATTTAAACAATGTTGTGGTAAACATATACGTATTTTTTAAATTTGCAATTTCACCCATTTTTATATATACAATTCAGTGGCAATTTTATTCCCCATGTTGTACAACCATTACCACTACTTGTTTCCAAATATGTAACAGAAAATTAGTGTCCTTCAGCAATAAGTCTCTCATCTCCCCCTCCCATTTACTCCTCGTAAACACTGAGCTACTTTGATCTCTAGATATTTGCCTATTCTAGATATTTTCATTTGAGTGTAACATACAATATTTGTCATTTTGTGTCTGACTTATTTTACGTAGCATGATTCCAAGTTCATTAATGTTATAGCATGTCTCAGAACTTCATTTCTCTTTATGGGTGAAGAATAAATTACATAGTATGGGGATACCACATTTTATTCTTGTACTCACCTGTTGATGGACACTTGGATTATGCCTCCTTTTTGGCTATTGTGACTAATGCTGCACTGAAGCCTCACCTTTTTATAGAAGATTAAATCAGGGAAGCTACAAGTCATTTAAAATTTTCTCCTTGTTTTCAGGCCCTACGTTTTAGCTCATGTTGGATTTTAATCCCATTATTTCATTATTATAATGCAAAATTTAAAACCTACATAAAATTGTCTATGATATTTTGAAAATATCATAGTATAAAATTTGTAATAGTTGCTTTCTTGTGTGATTTTTCAACAGGTTGAACCAATTGAATTATCTTCTGTCCGTGAATTTGATACAGTACTGGCTTCAAAAACCATAAGCATTTCTGAAGAAGGTATGTGTATGTGGGCAAAGAAGATTGAAGCCTTGTTTGGATTGATGGAAAGACTAGCATTGCCTTTTGGACTGTGCATAAACATCAGGGAGCCCCTGTCTGACTTTCTCTGGCTTCACAAGGGGTTGTTGTTGATAAAGTGCCGTCGAGTTGGTTCCAACCCATAGCGACCCTTTGTAGGGTTTCCAAGGAATGGCTAGTGAGCTTAAACTGCCAACCTTGCCAGTCATCTGACTTTGCAGTCCAGCACAAAGGAAAATCAAACTCAAAATCAACCCAAGGCCATTTCCTAAGACACAGAGGTTAGACATAGCTCTACCTTGTAAATTTCTTCACCCTATTCTGATACCAGCTGTTCCTCCAGCAGACAGCACTGTCTGCTTCACATCTGGGTTCTATAATCTTTTGAAATGGCCACATAGAACTCACAGACAATACTAACTATTATGTGGTTTAGTAGGGAAGTGAATGGGGTACAATTCAAGATCAAAACAACTCACAATGCAGCAGTTCGTCAGTCAGGAACACCTCTTCTCTGCTATACTGCAGGCAGGCCTCCCTCTCAGCCACGTGGCCCCTCATCTTCTGCCTTGCAGGTGTTACAAAGTTCCTTTAGCCAGTCTGTAAATGCTCAAAGAGCACATTCTGCATGCCAGCTCTCTGCCCGTAAACACTCAGCATTCAGTCCGTTGGCTGTGAAACCCCAACTCCTCTGTCTCTTCAGGATGCGTACTCTGTAGTTATTGCAGATAGGAATCTCATGCTTACAGCTTTTATTTAAGGATAATCCTGGAATTTTCTGTTCTTGCTTCTGAGATGGTGCTACTGAAACCTAGCAGGATGGAAAAAGTAACTTGCCCTGGCATTAGAGCCCTGCACACCCTATTTGCATGGTACCACCCAATCATTTGGCAGGAATTAAGAGGACTTTTGATAGAAAAGCCATACCTATAAATTCACAGTACCTAAAACTGCCATAACTAGGAATGGTTTTCATATGTAAACAGCAGGTCTCAGCTTCAATTTTTTTTTTTTTGTAATATTTTTAGATTTTTTTTGTGTTGTGTTTCCCCTCCCTTTGGGTGTGTTCTTTTTCTTAGTCTTTTACAATAATGGTCTCATGCAGTATTTCTCCTTTTGTGACTGACTAATTTCACTCAGCATAATGTCCTCAAGGTTCATCCATGTTATGTGATGGCTTGCAGCTTCCTTGTTGTTCTTCAAGGTAGCATAGTATTCCATTGTGTACATATGTACCACAGTTTGTTTATCCATTCTTCAATTGATGGGCATTTTGGTTGTCTCCATTTTTTTGCTATTATAAATAGTGCTGCTGTGAACATTGGTGTGCATATATCTACTCGTGTTATGACTCGTATTTCTTGTGGGTAAATACCAAGTAGAGGAATTGCTGGGTCATACGGTATTTCTATTTCCAATCTTCTGAGGAAGCGTCATATTGCTTTCCAGAGTGGTTGGACCATTTTGACGTCCTACCAGCAATGCAGGAGGGTTCCAGTCTTTCCGCATCCTCGCCAGCATTTGTTGTCCTCTGCTTTTTTGATCTTTGCTGTTATTGCTGGTGTGAGATGATATCTCGTTTTGATTTGTATCTCTCTTATAGCTAGTGATTGTGAACATTTCTTCATATGTTTGTTGACTGCTCAGTTTCAAATTTTTATGAGTATTTTTGTGATAACACATGTTATTAGTTCTCATATTAAGGCCACACAGAGTCACTGTACCAGAAAGTAATGGTTGGTTTGCATGGGCTAAATGGGACAGAGGTAAATAGTGATGCATGCTCAACCTTGGAACAACAGAGCTCTGTGATACAAAGATCAAGGCATACTTTGAAGAGGGGAAATAGTACTAAGGTGCTTGACTGTCTTATGTATATGGGTTTCTTTTGCCTACTATTATAAAATAGACACTTGAGTTGGATAGAAAGGAATGTTGGGAAACATGATTACAGAAAGTTTGTAAGCCCGTCTTCTGCCTATAAGTGACTGTAATACCTAAAAGGGGTTCTAGAACTTGCCCAGTGAAATTGGCCTCTTGTGGAGGCTTTGTGGAGTATAGGACCTTAGGTGGAATCCTGAGTCCCATGCAGATCCTTCTGAGGTGGGACATTCCCACTAGAAAGAACAAGTCTAGCCTGGAACAGCTAGAGTGACAGAAGATACATGTTCAAAGAAAGATCATCAGGAAAACCCAAAACAAAAATGTCAGCATGACTGGCTACTACAAGAATAAGCAAGCTGTTCGCCAGAAAGCCCTCAAGGCAAGTAATCAGGTTCCTTCAGGACAAACCCATCTCTAAGACTGAAACTCAAAAGGAACACATGAGCAGGCATGTAACCTTGCAGATGACCACATTGGTCTACTGGAGAGTAAAAGAGGGGGAAAGGCAGCAATGAAGAAATGGGCTGAGTTAAACCATGTTCCATAGACTCCCATTGACCTGGAGATGAGAGAGAGAAGAGGACGGGCTGGTTGGTCCAAAGTGTGATGAGACCTGGGTACACCTGAGCCCATGGACAAGGACATAGCCACAGAGGGCTAGAGCTGAGAATGAAGCATCCAGCTAGTATGGAGTGAGAGGAGGCACACAAGAATGCCCAAAGTTGCAGATAGTACCTACTTGCCCTAGCCTCGATTGCTTGATAATCAGAACTTGACTAGAGGAAGATTAAAAAAAAAAAAAGAACAAAACAATTTTTGAGAAAGGAAACATGGGTAAATTGCTACAATTTACCTATACTCATGGAGGTAATAGCTCTAAATAACAACAGAGAGGGAAGGTGTCTTCACATGAAGTATCAATGCTATCCCCTCTGTACACAAGGGTAGATAGAGATGGGCAGCTTAGATATTGGCTACCTAAAATGAGGGGGTGATAAAGGGTTGAAGTGACTGGCTTACAAGGTTAATACTCAAGGGGGAGTTTAATCTAAGAGTGTGTGGGGGAAGAAAGAGTCGCCACTGAATAGTTTTCATCTTGTCTAGATGAGTCTGGTTAAGAGAGACAAGGACAAGATTTTTATGATTCAATAGTGAGTAATTGTTATCACGACTAATTGCAACTGTCACAATTGTAAAGGTAGAAGTTTGTAACAAAAATAGGGGAGTAGTTAATCTTACAGTCCAAAAACAAAGGACCCTAGGACCATCAAGGGAGAAGAGCCGAAGTGGAATGAGAGATGTTATCCAGAGAAGCAGCAACACCAGAGATGGAGACAGAGGTGGGAACATGGAGAGAGGGAGCAGCTGAGGACTCTAGATTCATGGGAAGAGAGGCTCTAAGACTGGTGGCCAGGAGACAGACTTGCAAGAATGTGCCATTTGGTGGTGTAAGTTATTATATATACCTGAGTGTTGTTTTTTTTTTTAAAAAAAGCTAAAGTGAATAGAGAGCAATACTGTTAACTGATGGTACATGGAAGGGATTATAATCATTGTAATGAAATAAGGTGTATGATTTCTTGAATGTAAAACTGATGATCTGCCCTGTAAACTTTCACTCAATCTATAATAAAAATCTTAAAAAAAAAAAAAGAAGGAATGGTTGATGATCAGCCATTTCAAGAGATAGCATATTAACAAGAGCCAATGATACCAAGGTGTACTGGAAAGCATTGGCAAAGAACAAGGCACCAGGAATTGATGGAATACCAACTGAATTCTTACAACAAACTGATGCAGCATTGGAGGCACCTACTCATTCATCTATGCCAAGAAATTTGAAAGTCAGCTTACCTGACCAACTGACTGGAAGAGATCCATATTGGTGCCCATTCCAGAGAGGTGACACAACGGAATGTGGAACTCATCAGACAACATCATTAATATCGCATGCAAGTAAAATTTTGCTACAGATAATACAAAAATGACTGCAACCATACATTGATAAGGAACTTCCAGAGGTTCACACAGGATTCAGAAGAGGATATGGAACGAGGCTGAAAGCAGAGAATACCAGAAAGATGTTTACCTGTGTTTTATTGACTATGCAAAGGCTTTCAATTGTGTGAACCTTGACACGCTGTGGACAGCATTGTGGAAAATGAGCATTCTAGAATGCATAATTATGCTCATGAGGAACCTGTACAACAACTGAGGAACCTGTTTGAACAGCTACCAAGAAAGAGGGTAACAAGGGAACACTGAATGGTTTAAAATCAGGAAGGGTGTGTGCCAGAGTTGTAGCCTTTCACTGTTCTTATTCTGTCTACGCTGAGCAAATAATCCCTGAATCTAGGTTGTTGTTGTTTTTGTCAGGTGCCATCGAGTCGGAACCGACTCATAGCGACCCCATGCACAGCAGAACGAAACAATGTCCTATCCTGGGCCAACCTCACTACCGCTGCCACACTTGAGTCCATCAATGATGCCACCTGGCTGATCCATCTCGTTAGAGGTCTTCCTCTTTTTCTCTGACCCTCCACCTTACCCAGCATGACATCTTTCTCCAATGATTGTTTCCTCCGGACAATATGTCCAAAGTATGAGAGACGAAGCTTAGCCATCCTGGCCTCCAAGGAGCACTCTGTCTGCACTTCTTCCAAAACAGATCTGTTGGTTCTTTTGGCAACCCATGGCACTTTCAGTATTCTCCTCCAACACCACAACTCAAAGGCATCAATTCTTCTACGATCTTCCTTATTTACATGAAGAAAAATGTGGCATCAGTATTGGAGGAAGATTCAGTAACGACTTGTGATATGCAGATACAGCCTTTCTGGCCGAAAGTGAAGAGGACTTAAAATACTTAATTGATGAAGATCAAAGACCACAGCCTTGGTATGGGTTGAACTTCAAAGTAAGGAAACAAAAATTTTTCACCACTGGACCATTAAACAACAGCCATATAAATGAAGATGAGATTGAAGTTATTAAAGACTTCATTTGGTCAGATCTGGAAACAGCAGTCCAGAAATTAAATGACGTATTGCATTAGGCAAATCTAATGCACAAGACCTCTTTAAAGTGTTGAAGAG